CCCGCGTCCCGGCCGGGCGGTTTGATGTGCGGGGTTGGGAGTAGGGAGCGGGCAGGAGGAATGAGCTGTTCACCGCTGCCTCCCCTTCCTCCTGCTCCTCTCCTCCTCCCCCTCCTCGCCACCCCCCCGACCCTCGCCCACCCGGCGACCGGTGGCCCAGCCGTGCTGCTGCGCGCCTCGGAGGCTTCCCAGTTCCTGCGGCAGAGGCAGCGGCGAGCCTACCAGATCTTCGAGGAGACCAAGCAAGGGCACCTGGAGAGGGAGTGCGTGGAGGAGCACTGCAGCAAGGAGGAGGCCCGGGAGGTCTTTGAGAACGACCCCGAGACGGTAAGGGCGCAGAAGGCTTGGGTGGGTTGTCCGGTTCTGCTCTCCCCCCCCTCCCTCCATCCATCCGCAGCTGGGTTCCAGCTGCCTGCACAGCTGGGGAAGCCGCTGGGAGGAGGAGGAGGAGGAGGAGGAACCAGAACCATGAGGTTGAATGACTGGGAGCCACACAGGGTAACCAGCACTCAGCCTGCACAAGGGCTGTGTCAGTGCTGGCCAGTTACCAATGTCACCGTGAGGATGGGCTGGGTGAGGAGGGTCTGGGTGAGGAGGGTCTGGGTGAGGACGGGCTGGGTGAGGATGGTCTGGGTGAGGAGGGTCTGGGTGAGGATGGTCTGGGTGAGTGGCTGCAAGCCATGAAGCAAGACCAGTGCGACATAATGCTACGGCTTCTTTGTCTGGACACCTCACCACCCCTCCTTCCTTCAGTTTCCCATCCCAGCTGGATTTGTAATCCCTTAATGCCGTGCCGTATGTCTGAATAGGGGGTTCGTGGCAGAAGTATGTCACAAACGCACTTTAATCCTTTTGGGCCGTGTTCGGCTTGGTCAGCATTTTGGAATCAGTAGGTTCAGTACCTGTCACTACGACAGTCCGAGAGCATGCGGATGGGAACGTGGTACTGCTGCACTTCTAACACTAAGCGTGGATTCACACAGTTACAGCCCACACACCACACGTGGAGCTGACTTTTCCAGTCTTCTCAAGGCTGACTCTCACTCCAGTCTTCTTCTCACTTTGGCCAGCATGTGGATGCAGTTGTGTTGCTTTACTAAGCTTGGCTTACTCTTCCAGTTACTTTACACCTCCTCTCCACGCTGTTTTGGATAGGCTGTTCCCATTGCAGAGATTATCTGGCAGTGATTTAGCAGTGGGAAGTGGATTTTCGTGGTGTCCAACTGAAGCTTGATACTGCACAGCGTGTTCCTGTTAATGGTATGATGCTCTAGGGAGAAGATAGGACAGAGAGAGAGAGAGAGAGTGTGTATGTGTGCACACAGAGACACACACACACCACAGGCAAGGGAGGGACCCATCTGAGGAGATGTTTTATGCTTCAGTGGGACAAGCCTTGACATGTGTGCTTCGTTAGCAGGCTCCGTGCTGGGTTGTCACAAGGCAGTAGTAAGTATGGCAAAAACATTGTGATGCTGGCTTTTCTTATTGACAATCTTTAATTCAGAGCTTAATATGGAGCACTTGCCCATGCGGTGTTTAACAGGACACCTCTTACATGTATAGGTGTAGTCACATCTGCACGCAGCAGTGTTTGCTTCTGAGCTAATACAGAGTATAGATAATGTGGTGAGAATGGCTGGCACAACTATTCCCATATTCATGTTCAATAACATAACTTTAAGCTCAGTATAAATATCCACCACATAGCAGGGAATGGAGGAAAAAATATCCCAAATGCGATTTTGTAGCATTCTGGCAAAAAGGTGATCTGAGGTCACCGGTTTTGCTAACTGGCTTCTGGCCAAGAAAGTAGCCCAAGGCAATGTATTGATAGATCAGTTTAGAGGGTGGTAGAATGTGTAAATGTGTCAGGAGTTTTTAACAATCTTTGGTGCTTATTTTGTATATTGGAAAAAATATACAGTCCTCCTACTTTAATGAGAATAGTAAAATCATTTTGGTTAAAAATATTTTCCTGTGTAATATAAATTCTCTGAAATCCAGTCATGCCATTCAAGCATGTTTTGCAGGAGAAAACAAACTTTCTGTTATTGCAAATGATTTTGATTTTTTTGGTGCACGTCCTTCGTTACTGCTGCTAGGTCTTTCTCTAATTCTGAAAACCTCCAAAGAAAGATCATTAAGGCTAGATGAGCTTCTAGTGTCTGTCCCCCTTGCTTGTTTTACATGCGCTTCTACACCAAAGTACTGTATTTTATAGCACTTTTAGGTCTGCAGTGACCTGCCTTTTCTGAGACACAAACTCACAAACCTCCCAAGAGCTATGAACTTGCTTTTTACATGCAGCATATCATAGAATCATAGAACGGTCAGAGTTGGAAGAGACCTCAAAGATCATGGAGTTCCAAGCCCCCTGCCATGGTCAGGAACACCTCCCACCACAGCAGGTTGCTCAAAGCCCCATCCATACCCTGCTCCTTGCTGTTACTCTGCTTCAGTTTGACTGGGAAGTGAACGTGCCACCGCCTGTCAGGGGGATTTATGGCCCTTCCTATCCATTTTGCAATCAGCGTGTGACACGAAGGCAGCAGCTGCTGTTCAGTAGCAGTTTCCTAATGCATGGTGGCAGAGGTCATGCGTACGGGCTGTCATTACTTTACACATCAGAAGCCTTCAGTGCTTCGTATGGCACAGGTGACTGCTCCTCCGGCAGAATCTGTGGGTTTGATGGACAGAGTATCGATACGCATCTGAGGCAGTGGAAGGGTTTCTTAAATGCTAGGAAGTGGTCATGCTGTCATTTCACTGATGCTGCCTCGTACGCCCTGTTCCTGGGGAGTGACAGGAGAAGGACACTAGCTGAGACAGGCTTGACTCAGGAAAGGTAAGAACTGCTGATAAATGGCACCTAGCAGTTTGGAGAATTACAGTAATTGCAGCCACGCTTCAGCATATTGTCAGGCTGCAGCTGGACCGTGATGGTAACATGAGGACTTTTCATTGACTGGGGAAACATACAGATTGCTGTTGACAGCTGGTGAGCCCTTTCAGTTGAAGAAGGCTGGCATTTTTGTCTCTGCCTGCTGAATCTGGTCACAGAGGTGAACTACTTGGGTCCTAACAGAAAGAAACAGCCTGCGCTGAGCCCTGTGACCAGCCTTGTAGCAGGCAAGCCTTTGGGAACACATCGGTGCGCTGCTCACCTGTGCTGTTTCATCTCCCAGATTTTATGCTTTAAAGCACCAGATGAGCATGAAGGTAGGCATTTGGCTGTTTACTGTCCCATGGGAACGATGGTCTTGGTTACCTGGAGTATTGTGTACAGGTCTGGAGCCCTCAATATAAGAAGGACATGGACCTGATGGAGAGGGTCCAGAGGAGGGCCCCAAGGATGATCAGGGGGATGGAGCACCTCTGCTACGAGGACAGGCTGAGGGAGCTGGGGTTGTTCAGCCTGGAGAAGAGGAGGCTCCGGGGAGACCTAATAGCAGCCTGCCAGTACCTGAAGGGAGCCTACAGGAAGGCTGGGGAGAACCTGTTTAGAAAGGCCTGCGGTGACAGGACGAGGGGAAACGGCTTCAAGCTGGAGGGGAACAGATTTAGATTGGAGATTAGAAGGGGGTTCTTCACTGTGAGGGTGGTGGAGCACTGGAACAGGTTGCCCAGGGAGGTGGTTGAGGCCCCTTCCCTGGAGATATTCAAGGAGAGGCTCGACGAGGCCCTGGGCAACCTGGTCTAGTTGGGGGTGTCCCTGCTGACTGCGGGGAGGTGGGACTAGATGACCTTTGGAGGTCCCTTCCGGCCTGGACCATTCTATGATTCTATGATTCTTGCAGCTTTGACAGCTGAGGGTTAGTTTAAGATTAGTTAGTAGCTCGCTGCTTCTGTTCGACCTCAAGAAAGGCTTGTGATGTGAGCACAAACGTGTTGTCTCTCTTCCCTGTCCTTCCCATCAAAGGACAATGAAATGCATGAGTCTTCCTTACAAACTTTGCCATTTTTAGCTCTCCTATGGTTGCGTGAAGAGAATTTCAAGACCTAATTTCCAGACCTGTGACTTAAAGGTGTGATATGAGATCGTATTAACCAGTTCAGTCAGACAGCACCAGAAGTTGAGGTAAGACGAAGCAGGGCTGTAGCGTAGCTTGCATGATGCTTCCTGGGTTAAACCCCACTTTGACCCAGCCAATTATAACATCTAGCCTAGAATAACGTTTTATGGAAAGATACTTACTGAAGCCATGTACACCAGTACACCAACAAATAGAAATGAGATGCCATTTACCTATCCCAGGGCACCCTTTTTCCTTGCCTTCCATGGCTTCAGTGATGAGCTTTCCAAAGGAACATCTGCAAGCCATCAGCAGAAGATACACATTCTCTGAAACCTGGATGCGGGTGTTACCACATGTGTGATTGCTTACATCAGCTGCTAAGAATAGTGTATTAGGCGGGGCTAAATAGCCATTCATTTGCAGGCCAGTGCAGCTTTTGTCTTTCATGTTACGGAAAATATAAATATCAGCTTGCCCAGACTGGAGGAAGGAAGATCAATTGAAACATTTTTAGATTTTTTTTTTGGAGGCAGAACAAAGCTCAGTCTGTGCCATTTGTGTGACTATACATGGTAAAAACAAGTGTAAGCCTAGGTTAATGAGTCCTGCAGCCTATCCTTTTTTTATGAAGCTAATTATATTATCATTAGATATTATTGCAGAATTTTGGGGTGGTTCCTGTTTTATAATTCATTTATGCTAGAGGTACCAAACGGAAAAATGAAAAGATAATATTGGGAGGAAAAAATAAGGATGGAAAACATGTTCATGGGAGGTATGAGGACTGTTTCTAAATGCGATCTATTAAAAAGATAGGCTAGGTGTGATAGATAGGATGAAGTTGCAAAATATCTTGGATATAGAGATAAGAATGTTATCTTATTTAAAATGTTGACGAGCCTTATAAAAAGCAGAAATATTTGACTTTGGTATGCAGTCAAGGTATTACAGCTTGTTAACCAACTGATAAACTGCTCAGGAATTTGGTTGACCTGTTCTAAAAATGTGGTCATCCAAGCATGTAAAACACAGGGCAGAAGGGAGTGTAGTTGCTGTTGATCTTGGAAACCTTGGATTTCACTAAAGAATGAATTCAGCAAAAACGTGTCCTTGTGCAAGGCTTTTCTCTGTTTTGAGAGGCTCAGCACAGGGAAGGTGTTTGAATGCAGCCTCTTATCATTTGGTACTATAGTTTCTCAGTACAGCATCTGTCACTGCACATCTTGCTTACTGTTGTCACTCTTGAAGAATTGCTGGTCTTCCTACAGGTCAGCACTGAAATTGCCGTGCTAAATACTTTGAAGGCTG